CATTTTTCTTTGCTTATATATAATCTATTGACCCTCTCTTTACTGGTCAAATGATGCCAAATTGGGTAATGGGGTATCAGTAAATATCAGAATCTGATTATAATATTCTTAATATTTTTATCATATAGTCTAAAAGTCTATTAGTAAATATTTGAATGAAATTATCAGATATTCTTTAAAATTAATCAATCTTATTTTTTAATTAATTTAATAAACCAATAACTCTTTTATATTTTGTAATTATTAGTTAAATATTTCTAAAGCTCTTTGTGCTAAAATAATATCATAATCTTTAGTAGTTATTCAAGTAAAACAAATAGAATGAATATATAAAACGAATAAAAGCAAATAAAATGAACAAAACAAACAAAACAAACAAAGCAAATAAAATGAATAAAAGCGAATAAAACGAATAAAATGAATAAAAGCAAATAAAACAAATAAAAGCAAATAAAGCAAATAAAGCAAATAAAGCAAATAAAACAAATAAAACAAATAAAAGCAAATAAAATGAATAATAATTCAAATAAAAGCATATAAAGCATATAAAGTGAAGCTTGTATTATGAATAGAAACTGTGGATTAATACTAAAATCAAAAAACAACAATAAATAAACAAACAAATGGTTTTTATTACAAAATAATTAATTTTGTTCCTTTGGTGTTAATGATCACACAAGCAGTAGTCAATTTAAACAGCATTGTTTTTAAAGAATTTATTCAAAATATTTATTTAAATGTATAAAGTTTAATTATTTTGATACACAGTCCATATTTATATACTTTAAAGTTTGTAAATCAGGGCTGGAAATAGTACTAGTACTTTAAAAATCTGGATTTTCCTTTTAAAATTTTTAACTTCCGGAAAAAAAGAGTTGCCAGATATTTTTCCTTTTGATACGGTAATTGATAATAGTCTGATTCTGATTCTATTCCTTCAAAGATGAGCAATAAATCTTCCCGTACGATAAAATTGCATTATAATACGAAATAAACTACCATCTCGTATCTATTAAATATTCACTTCCATTTATTGGTCTCAATAACTCTACGTTACATTCTGCAAACATTGTTCTTAATAACGTGTGTGGATATGAAGTGCCAAACGATATGTTTCATACTGTATATTATATTTGTTTGGCAATATTATGTGATAATGATAATGATGTTTATTATAATGCTAATTATATGGCAATGATGATAAAGACTCTAACGATATTATTATAATAATCTTTACACCCAAACATTTAACATTTTTATTGTGGCTATCACTGAATTTAAAGTATCAGCAATGACATCAACAACTCCTTCTCTGTGCATTTCTTTCATTTCTTTACTTTTTTTTTACAATTATTTTTTTAGGTAAAAAAAGGGGTTTTTTTAATACAAATTGGTAAATAAATTATTCCATGAAAGCATGTGATGACTTTTTTTAACGAAGGAAAAATTAAAAATGTTTGTAGAAAAAGGTATCGCCATTATTATCCATATGATAATAAATAGTACGTTGGTTTTATTTTAATAGCTTTTACATTCACACACATTTAGTTTCATTTCAAGTAAATTTCGAAGGAGAAATTCTTTAGATAAAACAGTATTGGAACTAAAGGAACATTTTGAAGAATTAACTAATATCCTCAAAGAATATCAAAAATCGATATTTAAAGATAATATCTTTATTATAAACAATCTTGATGCTAATGACAATTAAAATCTATAACTTGATTGGTTATTCAATTTTATTTTTTTTTTTTTAGTTATATTGAAAGATGCCTTCACATCACGAGAAGCAAGTAATATTAAAAATGGTACCAAGATGAAGTTAATGGGTAGTTCACAATAGGAAACCCATGATTTAAAGAATCTGAATCAAAATCATCGATAAAACGCGATCAAAATACGCGATTAACGCAACTATTAGAAATACGGCTTTCTATTTTTCTTTTCCCATAAATATATATTTTTGTATATAATGATTTTAGCCATATAAAAATTTGAAAAAATTTCAAGATTTAAAATCACAAAATACACATTTCATCAAATAAGAGTAATTGAAAAAATTCCAAAATCTGAAAAGGCGCGCGATGATCGAGGAATAAAAACCATAATGCAAAGATATAAATTTTCAGTTGAGATATGGATTTTTCCAGAATGTTTCTATCATCCTAATAATACAAAAATTATTGGGATATATATAACGTCAACAAAGGAGAATCAATCTCGTTGATATTGAGACATTATGCTAATATTAAAAAAATTTTATTGCATGAGTTAACACATAATGTTTGGGATGGACACGATGAAAATTTACATCAACTCAATAGACAACTTAATAAAGATGCCGGTAAGTTAATAATAACAATAATAATAATGTTGTTAATATTTTATTTTTTCTACATTTTTAATTTAATTTGCTATAATCTTTATAAATAGTCTCATTAGATTGGACTTTATCAGATGGCAAAAAACTTTCCAATGAGGAGTTTTATAATCCATCAGAACAAGAAGAGATTGATACTAGATCATGGCAAGGTGGTGCTTATGTGTTAGGCGGTGATACTGAACGTGCTAAAATGCTTTCTAAACATGAACTTTAGCTGATGCTGCATTAGTGTGATTAACAAAAGAAAGAGAAAGAGTTAGATGAAGGCTGTGGACCTGGATCCACCATTCATCTGAATCTACATTAAGAAATAATTTAACATTTTATTTATTATTCTTATTATTATTATTAAATTATAATTATTTCAAATCATAATACATAAATAAATATTGTTAAGGGCTAGTTTAGGTGTTAAAGATCAGAATCTATATTTTGTTATATTGATAAATAACATCTAATGCTAATATTGATTTGTTTATGAGCTCATTCAATTCTTATTTTTTTAACCTCTGTCCATTTATCATTTGCTATTAATTATCAGACCTTCAAAGATTTTTTTAGTTGCCGGTCGGCTTCGTTCTTCAAAATTTGACAATTATTGTTGACGAGATATGCATAATGGTGATCATCATCAAATGTTATCATGCATCAGGTCCAAAAAAAGCATCATATCAAAATGTCGTCTTTCTAGGCCCAGTATATGGAATCAGGCTGTGATAGATAGTATCGATTTAAAACAAGGCACATACATTCAAGTATGGCAATGTTTGTGATATTACTCGAAACATCCCTGTCACGAGTGTCTTCTTTTATTTAGTTTATCAGTTGGACATTTTTTTTGTAAATATATTTATTTGATTATTATAATTATAATCGTTATAATTATAGCCAGTCAGGTTTATGTTTTTGATCATAAGGAACACTTTCTGAAAATATTTCAATAAACTATGTGTGATGTAATAATTAATGGAAGGTAAAAAAAAAAATAGATACTTTTTTTGTTCGTTAATAAGATTTTTATAATATATATACCTCTTGATCAGCCAAAGCTTTTGTGCCAGCAAATCTTTTGTATTCATCAAATATCGAAGTCATTGACCATTTTTGTAATTTACGAAGACATCCTATTAAACAACCTATTCTATGCTAATATGTTAAAGATATAAGTAAGATGTAAGAATATTCCAAAGATTGATTATTATGACAAAAAAAAAAAACAAAGACGGTCTTTTTACACATACTTTTCCTTTATTACAATGAATTAATACTAAGCAGTCAAAAGATAGATTAAAAAATATATGTGTGTGTGTAATATTAATTAGAATTTTTTCTCTCCCACACTCCAAAATTAGAGTCAATGATTATTTATTTCTTGTTCTCTTTAATTTTTTACTTTTGAATACCTGGATGATTTCTTTTGTCTGTAATTTTCTTTTTTTTTTCAGATTATTTAAATATTGTTATCATTAATTCAAGAAATAACAATGATTATTATTATTATTATTATTATTATTATTTATGCATGATTCATCCCATCCCCATCCAATTACCTAAAACTTTGACTAATGCACTACTAAGTTCTTTCTGTTCAATTTCAACAAACGGCTCCTAATTTTTCATTCGTAAAAAAATTTTACTAATTTTTCAATATATATATATTATATAATTATTTTTGTCAATGTTGTAATTGCTTGCTTGCTGCTTACTTTGTTAGGTTCAATTCTATAGTGGAAAACATTAATCTGTTGTTCTTCAACAAATTGTTTCAAGTCTTCATTAAAGTCATCAGCAGATAAATACCTTTTAAGAATTAAAAACATATATTTAATTAAATTCATGCTAATTGTATCATATAAATGTAATATATAGATATAGATATATACATTATTGATTTCAACCCCAATTTCTTTAGAAAAGGAAAGTTTTGTCGATTTGGATGTCCAGCTCTATAAACTCCAGGAGCTACCATTGCAAAGTTTAATGGGGGAACCACTTTGTAATCTTCATTAGAAATTTTGGTTCTTGATATAATTTTGGATGAGAGGCTCTTGTTGTTGTTTTCATTATCATCAACAACAACATCGTTGTTATTATCAGTGTTGGTTGTCATTTTAGATTTTTAATCGATGATGATGATCTCTGGAAATCATTTTTAAATTTTCGCTTTTTCAATTCAGATATTTCAGATAATATAATAATAATAATAATAATAATAATTTTTTTTTAATATAATGAATCTAAAACTGGTGACTGAAGAGAATCCTGGTAATTACAAAGTTGTTTTGTATTTACTGTAAACTATGCTATTATTAAATGGGAGAAAAAATAACAGTAGATGATAATCGAGTTTGTGGTCCTGTTTATAAGAAAAAATCTTGTGAAAAGAGATCATGATAATAACGACAAGAAAAGCACAACAAAGAACATTACTTTCTAATATTGTCAGTTCCAGAAGCACACTCGAATTAATTGAAGATTTAATGTTTAATTTTTTCGCTTGCGCTAATATATTTTTAGAAAAGGTAAACTCTCTTTTTCTTTTTTCTTCAATAATAAAACAATAACATAAAATTACAAAAACACCAGCTTTATTAATTTTTTTAATTATCTTTTTAGTTAGTTTCTTTAAAATTCAATAATTTGATTTAAGAAGTTAGATTCTCGTTACATGATCCGACATGGTTTTACTTTATTTCCGCAGAAAATCATGTCTTGAATAATAAATAAATTATAGAAGAAAATAAAGATAAACAACGATGTCACAGGAGCGGTGGCCTAATGGATAAGGCATCAGACTTCGGATCTGGGGATTGCGGGTTCGACTCCCGCCCGCTTCGGGGAAAAATAAAAATCTTTTGAAAGAAATTAATAAAAAAATTTGACATGAAGAATAAATGATTTTTTATTTATTATATTATATTATATTATGATAATGATGATTTTACTATGCATGCTAATGAATGATGATTAATTAGTTAATTTAAAATAAATTATAGTTCAAATAATAATAATAAAATGTTTATGGATTGTTCAATTTTTTTTTCCTTTTTCTTGTACTATTGTAATTAAATTATTTCTTAATGATTTTCAAACGTAGATTCAGATGAAGGGTTGGATCCAAACCCACAGCTTTCGTCCAACTCTTTCTCTTCTTTCGTTAATCGCATTAATGTAGCTTCAGCTAAAAGTTCACGTTTAGAAAGTATTTTAGCACGTTCAGTATCACCGCCTAACACATAAGCACCACCTTGCCATGATCTAGTATCAATCCCTTCTTGTTCTGATGGATTATAAAACTCCTCATTGGAAAGTTTTTTGCCATCTGATAAAGTCCAATCTAATGAGACTATTTATATAAATTATAGCAAATTAAATTAAAAATGCAGAAAAAAATAAATATTAACAACATTATTATTATTGTTATTATTAAACTTACCGGCATCTTTATTAAGTTGTCTATTGAGTTGATGGAAATTTTCATCGTGTCCATCCCAAACATTATGTGTTAACTCATGCAATAAAACTTTTTTAATATCAGCATAATGTCTGAATCCTTGCAAATCATCAGTTCTCAATCTCAACGAAATTGATTCTCCTTTGTTGACGTTATATCCCAATAATTTTGTATTATTAGATGATAGAAACATTCTAGAAAAATCCATCTCTTGCAACGTTCCAACTGAAAATTTATATTTTTGCATTATGGCTTTTATCCCTCGATCATCGCGTAACCTTTCAAGTATTTCATGTGCTTTTTCAGATTTTGGAATTTTTTCAATTACTCTTATTTGATGAAACGTGTATTTCTGTGAATTTAAACCTTGAAATTTTTTCAAATTTTTATATGGCTAAAAATCATTATGTACAAAAATATGTATTTTTAAATAAATAAGTTAACAAGAGGGGAGAAAAGAAAAAAAGAAAATTGTATTTCTAATAGTTACGTTAATCGCATATTTTGATTCGTGTTTTATCGACGACGACTTTGATTCAGATTCTTTTAAATTTTGGATTTCCTGTTGTGAACTACCCATTAACATCACCTTGGTACCATTTTTAATATTACCTTCTCGTAATGTGAAAGCATCTTTCAATAAAACTAAAAAAAAAAAAATAGATAAATTTTAACTTTTTTAGGTTAATAGATTTTAATTGTCATAAAGATATTATTGTCTTTTACCTTTAAATATCAATTTTTGATATTCTTTAGGAATATTTGTTAATTCTTCAAGATGTTCTTTTAGTTCCAATATTGTTTTATCAAAAGGGAAATCTTTTATCTGGAGAGCTTTTCCTTTGAAATTTACTTGAAATGAAACTAAAAAAAATCATAATAAAAAAAATAAATGAGAGAATGTAAAAGTTATAAAATAAAAACCAACGTACTATTTATTTGTATAGACAATAATAATAACAATACCTTTTTCTACAAGCATTTTTTTTTTTTTTTTTTGATAAAAATAATTTTTCCTTGGTTAAAAAAAGTCTCCACATGCCTTATTTATAATTTTTTGGAACATATTATTAATAGAAAAGATTTTTCTAGTACATTTTTTTTTAGAATAGTAATATTAATAGTAATTATTTATTACGGGGTAATTGATTTACCGGTTGTT